CGAGGCCCAGCCGGGGCCCTGGGCCCGGGGCCTATGTATCCGCACCCCGGCATTTTGGGGTGCACCAGCGCAGCCTGCGCTGCCCTGTCTGAAATAAGGGGGTTAAGAAAAAGTTTTAAGAAGGCTAAACCATTTCCTAGTCTATTTTTTTTAAGAACGCAGAGTTCTTGAGTATTTTCTCAAATGGTTAACAAAGTCAGGTGAAAGGTTATTAATGGTTGTGGTATGAGTGGAGGTTACCGAAGGCTAACTGTCCCTGGAACCTGACAACAAAAAGCTTCTGTGGAAAGATCACCGTTTTCCTTCCAGAAGGTTTATTTTGCTACCGAGTGAAGAGACTCACTCATACCTCATACTTGTCAGTGCTACCTGCACAAACCCAGGCACGTTCGTCGCCTGCATATCCCAGTGGCTGGGATGAGAAGTGTTTCTGGTGTTTTTCCCAATATATGTTATTTTATTGATGAAGAACCTGCGCTGCTTTTTAGCACTATTGAACCCAAACATAGCTCCGAGTACAGTTAGTTAGAATGGTAAATAAAGCATCTGCGTAAAAGGCAGGATGAGCTTTCCCATTGTTACTAGGGAATGCTTTGGTGGGTGATTAGAACCCCAAAATCTGAGATGCTGCTATTAATACTTTAGCCATTTCAGCACTAGAAGCAGAAAATCAGGAAGTCTTTTCCTCCCAGCAACAAGCTCCATGTTAGATTATTGAGAGCTGATTTTGACAGTTCCAATTTAATGTGCATTTTCTAATGTTGATGGAAATGATGACAAAACCAGCCAGAGTTAGCTGTGCCAGTAAGCTGCCTTCCACTAGGAGCCTGTTCAATCCCACTGGATTCTTGGGGTACATATTTAAACAGCCACTTTGACTGGCAACACCAGGAATTAATGATTTTTATCCCCAGAAGGTGGTTGTCACCACCACCCCAGGAGCTGCACGTTCTAGTTTATCCTCTTCTAGCCCTTTTTAACTACATTCTCTGAAAATTTGGCTGCACAATACAGAAAGTTAACTGAAAATCAGAATTTCAGGTTTGTTTTACATACATGGTGACTGGGCAACCAATGATGAGTTACAGGTTTTAAGATAAAAAATCAAGAGTCTGTGTAGGTGAGCTGGTGAGAATGAAGGGCTGGCTCCAAGCACAGCTCTTGGGTGCTAGGAAATGCATACTGTCACTGAGCTCTATGGCATCTTTTTGCCCTGTTTTGACAGCTTTGAGTTTCTGTGGATGGAACTAAAGTTCAAGACAGGTTTGCATACTAGAAAGCATGGGGAAAAACTTTTACAAAAAACTTTCTTTTACAAGTTTAAAGTTTATTCTGAAGTTTCTAGTACAGGTCCTACTGAAGGACTGTGATATCAGAGGTATCATTAGATTTTTTTTTTTTTTTGTCTGAAATTGCATGTGGCTTACTACTGAAGAGAGTTGTGTGAGATGTTAAGAAAACCTTGCACTGTCTCTTTAGCACGTTAAATTCAGCAGCTTGGAGACTGGAGTAGTGTCACTTTTGTGTTATTTTCAGTCTCGTTGTACTTGAAAGAGTCCAATTGCTTTTAAAATCTTTTATCATGTTACTTCCATGGTAATTAGCCACTAAATGGCAGTTAGGAGTTACTGTATTGGGTGAGCAATAATTAATGTTCCTAGCTATTTGTCAAAAAGATAGACAACTGTTGGGCAGTAATTATATCTGTGTTTTGGGTGTTTACCTGTGTATACAGAGGTGGTATGACCGAACCCAGTAAGATCAGCACACAATATGCTTGTTTTTCTGTGCTAAGAGAACAAGCATTACCTTTAAGCTATCTAAATAATTCAAGAGTCTTGCATTTAAAGAGCTAGTTCGGTGGGGTCACTGATCTGAAGTGTTTGTGGAAGCCTAGGAAACACTTCCTCCTACTTTTCTTCCATGGGTGTTACTGTTGAGTTTGCCAGCTGGCTGTGTGCTGAGTTGCTGCTCACACTGCTGCTGTGCTTGCCTCCACTTGGAACCAAGAGGCAGGTTGTTTTTTTTCATCCTTGCTGGCTGGGCACAGTCAGATGACTTGAAGCTGTCAAGAGGCTGGTAGGAGGAAGGATGCATCAAGAGCTGTGGCATTGGTATTGTTTTTACTTTTTCTGTGAAAAAACACTCAAAATTCATGTTTTTTCAGAGTAGTAAATAGGAAGCACAGGAACAAAAGGCTAACAGTTGTGATAACAAGGTTAAAATTCAGACTTATATGTGATGGTAGGTGGTGGTTTGTTGTTGAAATAAGCTGCAGTTCTGCTTAATAGGGATTTCAGATACCACCATCAATTGCTTTTGTTTAAATTGGGTAAACAAAATGTAGCAATTGTAGCAATGAAATGTTTCTTCTAGATAAATAAGGTCTGTTCTCCCCTCTCAGATCTCATTTTTAAAAACAGATCCCGTGTAAGGTGTGTGTGAAATTTTAATGCAATTAATTGATGTAGGAGAATGTCTCCATTTCCTGCTAGTACTGCCTAAAAGAACCATCGTATAAATAAAGCAAATAACTGGCTTTCCCCTGTGAAAGAGGCTGGCCTCAAAGATGCATTTAGCTGATGATCTCGAGGAGGTGTTACGCTTTGAACCTCCAAGAGTTTTAAAATTGCAAATATCTCTTATTCTTGCTGTTAGTAAAATATTTGTCATAATAGAAAGCTTAATACAGTTTTTTTTTCCATGCCAGCTGTGCCCAGGCACTTTCTCTCATGTGGAGCGCTCATATCAAGTGTTTTGCTTGGGATGCTTCTGGCAAATGCCTGTTACTGTCATAGAACAGAGATTTAAAAGGATGGTTGAGATCCCAGAATGCAAATCTGCATAATTATACATGTTTAGCCACACTCTTAGCAAGTCAGAATTGTAAATTTGCACTGATCGGTCTCGCACTCTGATTGGGACATCATTATATTTTAATCCCCAGAGAGGCTTCTTGGAATAAGAAGTTAATAAGCTTTATTTTGTTGTTTCCAGAGAAATGCTGTGGTAGTTGACTCGTGTTAAGGAGACTTTCTTTGGTTTTTTTTATGAATTTGTGTATGCTGTTAGAACAGTCTAATCCCATGCTTGGTTATGTAGTTGTTGCCTTCGACCCTCGTACGCAGGGGGGTTAAAATACTTTGGTAACGACAGCTCTGTGGTGTGCTTTGCAGCAGGGCTGCTAGGGTTGACTGCTGGAGGGCTCTTCCTGAGCTGTGCAGCTGCTGTTGGGATTCGGAGCAGAGTGGGTGCCAGGTGGAGCTGCTGTGTCCGGGCTCCCTTTGTTGGAGGGGATGGGAAAAGTGTCCCTCTGGCAAAGAAGTTTGGCACCTTTGAAAAAAATGGTTAAGCCTGGGCTTTTTAAATGTAACCAGGAATCCAGGTATCATTCTGAGGGATTAATGTTCTCTGCCCACCAGAAGTTAACCTCTAGCCTTGCTGAACACATCCCTGCCCTTTCTGTACAGCATGGTACACTCAGGTTCTTCTTTTTCTTTCAGTTTAGTCCCTGGCACTCATCAAAATGATTAGAACCTATAACAACGGCACAGCTTCTGCAAACACCAAATGTTTCTTGTGCTCCATATTGAAGGTGTTTCACTTGATCCTAATTTTGGATTCTCTACAAACTTTGAACTGTTTATAAAACCACTGAGTGAAGAAGCAATTCAGTTAGAAGCATAATGAAACCAGGGATGTTCTTTTTATTATCCAGCACCTGAATAAAACCTTAATGAATGTTTTTTCGTTTGCTTTCTCCATTGCGTATTAAAGGTGGATAGCAGAGCTGAGTCAATTGACAAGAAAATAGCTAAGCTTGATGCAGAACTAGTGAAGTATAAGGATCAAATGAAGAAGATGAGAGAGGGGCCTGCAAAGGTAAGAATCTTCTGTGGGATTTAAGCATGAGAGGATGTGACTCACGCTTCTTGTCATGCAGTGGAGTGATTTAGCCAGTTCATCAGGTTCTTAAATTGCTTCTTGCTCTACTGATGAGGTGTAAGCTCCTGCAGGATTGTTTTTATTCTGAAGCATCTCCCAGACATGCATCTTTGGAGTGTTTTCATTGTTTATTGTTTCTTCCAAAGTGTAATGTAATTCCTTCCTCAGAAGTAACTTGCTTCCCTTCTTCATTCTGTGTCCTGAATTAAGTCTGATAGAAAGGCTGTTTTGTTCAGCAAAAAAACCCCCACAGTCTCCACTATGCAGAAAGGGAGTAGGAACCCCCATTTTTGAAAGGACATGAACATGTAAATAAATTGTATCTAATAAAAAGAATAATATAAACAGTATTGTTGAGGTACCTTTTTCATTTTTAATCTGACCATTAAATTGTGTTAATGAAGGGTGGTTCTGATAGACTAGGTTTGACTTTTTATTCTGCCTATCAAAAAAAAAAATAAATCAAAAGTCAGAAATTTTGGAAGTATGTTCTATTAGAAGCTTAACTCATAAGACTTGGGTTAATCGTTACTGCAGGACAAACCCCGAATGTGACTATGGTTAAACTCTTCCCATGAGGAACTGAGGAATCTTTCAGGAAACTCAAATGCAATGCATTAGGTCTAAACAGTATACTTGAGTAAAGTAAAATATTTTTCTCCATGTAACAATATTGTGTCTTTCAGAATACGGTAAAGCAGAAGGCACTGAGGGTGTTAAAGCAGAAGCGAATGTAAGTTTTTAAACCTTTTTCTGTTTGTGATTACCAAAAGTCTGTTTCCTTTAAGGGGGGGTGGCACATGATTATTTCTCTCACCAGTACCCTTGCCTCTGAGCAGTCCTTAATGAAAAATGCTGACCAAGCCAGCCAGCCTTTCATAAGCGTCTCCTTACAGATTTTGTGTCAGCAGATTTGTGCCCTATTTGTATGTGAGCATACAAATTTGGACTGGGACAAGCTGACCTAAATCTGCTCATTATTAAAGCTATGCTTGGCTCCTAAACTTTCTGAGAGAGTGTGTCATTTGATTTTATTAATTGATTACTATAAATTCTGGACTTGATGACCTTGGTCTGGTTTACCGGAAAGTTACCTGCTCTCTGTGGACACCCTTTAGGACTTGAGCACATGTCACGCAGATAGTTGTGCCTATGCAAAAACCCAGAATGGACAGATTAGGTGGTCCTGTGGTCTGGTGTAGTCTACTGTCTTGGAAAGTGTCCAGCAACAAATACAAAGGAAAAAATGTCACAATAAGGCAAGTGTTCAGGGATGCTTCACTGGAATATTTTCTAGTCCCTGAACTGCAAATCTTTTAGATGCTTTCTGAGCCAAAGCTCATATTGTCTTGTATTTCATGTCCCTCAGAGGAATTGTACCTCTACAGGCTTGCTCAATTACTTGTGAAGTGTTTGTGAACTTTTATATAAGAATATGTTTCCAAAACTTGCTATGATAAGGAATGCAATGGTTTAGTTAAATGTTGTGAGGAGGTCTGCTGTGGTTAGGGTTTGTTGGTTTGGGGTTAGTGGTGGGTTGGTGTTTGGTGTTTTTTTACTATACTGCCTGCAAATCTTACTTGATAGTTGTTCCCCTATTTACAGTCACTGGGCCCCCCCCCAAATAGGCTGTCATCATATCCCTCAGTCATCTCTTTTCCACCTTGTTGAACAGTGATATATTTAGTCATTCCTTGTCCAGAAGCTGTTCAGTATTTGGATTACCTTTGTCTTGCAGACCTCCTACCTTGGGTGTTTGAAGAATGACTCCTTGATAGTTTTTATGCTTTCATTTTTATGTTTAACTTGACATATTTTGCGTTCCTGAAGGGGTATAAGTTTAGTTTTGCAAAGGATGACTTCTGTAGTTTGAAAGTCTTCCTCTTCTTTTTAGTTCTCCCTAACAGTTTCCTTTTGCTACCCTGTCCTCCCCCTGCTCCCTGGCCTGCAGAGCTGTTGTGCTTTGGATAACTGGCATCTCTTCCACTCTGCTTGCAGCGTGAGCGAGCGGAGCTCGGGGTGGTGACACCTGTGCTGGGTGAGCCTGTACAGGCGCGACATCGCGCTGGGCTCAAACAGCCCCTCAGCTCAGGGGCGGCTTGGTCAACTTCAAATACAGATTTTTATGAAGCTGTTCTGTGATTATTTATAATAAATAAAACCCCATAAATTAGAGTACTGACAATGATTTTTCAATTTTTAAAAAAATGGAGAATTTTTGTGGCCATAAGTGGTGTGGTGTTTTAAACTGTTACTTACATTGTTTTTCACAGGTATGAACAACAGCGGGATAATCTGTCACAGCAGTCTTTTAATATGGAACAAGCCAATTACACTATTCAGGCACTGAAGGACACAAAGACAACGGTAGTACTATATTAATCTCACGTTTGTTTCATTTGTGTAAGCTAAACAGGATACAAACATGTTGTTTGATTCTCTTCTAGGTTGATGCAATGAAACTGGGGGTGAAAGAAATGAAGAAAGCTTACAAGCAAGTCAAAATCGATCAAATTGAGGTAAGCTTCTGTAGTTTAAGTAATTAAAGAACAGAATGCACTGAAATAGTGATGAGTGGCCTTTGTAACTTTGAGGTAAGATGGCTGGTTTACTTCACGTGACTTTGCCTCCCCTTTTTATGAGACCTCCATCATAATTCCTTCCTGATTTCTCTGCTACTGCACAATCAGTTGTTTGCCATGGTGTGTTGGTGGTTGTTTCATTGCTGGGGTAATCTTTTTAACTCGCCCTTCCTTTCCTGTGCACCTAAGCATAAATGTTGGTGACTACTTCCTGCTATGGCTTTTTTTTCCATTTTTATTTTTCCTTATCTTAGCAGTATGCAGATTAGTCCTTTGCTCCATCAGTTGAAGATAGTGCCTGATGTAAAATAAAAACCCTAAACCAACAAACCGAACCAAGAAAGAAACCCCCCCCCAAAAAACCCTCCCAAAGAAACCAAACAGAAAATATAATTTTATTAAGTTTGCAAGGCCTGGCCCTGTCTTCAGAAAATACATTAAAAAAAAAATCCATAAGATCTCTAAGCATAATTTAAAGTGTGCTGCACTTAAACTTTTCTCAAATGCCAGTGCTGAATTCCTTTAAGTTCTCTTTCATATGCTGTTTTATATGTGGCCTGCATTATAAACCTTTAGGTAGGAATTGTTTCCTTATTTGTACCCAGGTACATTGCTAATAGTCATGCTGAAGGAGCTTCTAAATTTTGCTGTAGCAGAATTCGGCTTATTGCTTGATACTCTGTTTTTCTTTACATTTACTTTGTCTAGATTTCTTACCCTCGTGCTTTTCAAGGTTTTCAGTTTACCCTGAAGAACACTTAAAACAAAAGGATTTTGCAGAAAGGTGTTTCATTGTTCCTCTTTTCCCACATCATACGTACCCCATACTGTAAATTTAGTGGTAGTTAAAGCCACACTATAATGCTGACTGTCTTGATTTGTATTAATGGTACTTCAAAAAAAGATTTATGTATTAACAATTTTTGAGTGCCTTTTATGTTGAAATTATTAAACTGAATTTGATTAAGCTCTAATAAATTTAACTGAAACTATTAAATATGGACCAGTTGAAATTGTTTCTTGCTTCAGGACATACAAGATCAATTAGAGGATATGATGGAAGAAGCCAATGAGGTCCAGGAGGCACTGAGTCGTAGTTACGGAACACCAGAGATTGATGAAGATGACTTGGAAGCAGGTTAGGAGGGTGGCTGATGAATGTAGAAATAATAATACAGTGGTTTTTAATTTCGTTGGTTAAATACTTCAGGTGTTTAAAAAAAAAAAAAAAAAAATCCTTGCCTATTTTTTCCACCAACATAATTTGGTTTCAGAACTGGATGCGCTGGGTGATGAGCTTTTAGCCGATGAAGACAATTCCTACTTGGATGAAGCTGCGTCTGCTCCAGCAATCCCAGAAGTCACTCCTACTGACACGAAAAACAAAGTGAGTCCTTTCCTCTTTGAAAGCAAAATACATGTATTTATTTTCATTTTGGATTAATCACATTTGTTTTGATTGCTTGATACTTGGAATCCTTCATATTTTGAACAAAAGAAAAATGCTTAATATCCTATGTATTTGGATGCTGTATATGAAGAATACAGTGTACCAAATGCTCTTTATTATATTTTAAAGAACTAAAGTTTTTTAACTCCAGTCTAACATTGTCAGACTGCAAGTAGAATTTAAGTGCACCATTACTGCTCCTAGTATAGTTATTCTTAAAAGCCTAAGGAAAGTCTTTTGTATTTGTATTAAAGCCCTTAGGGCTTTAATACAGCTTCATAGCAAGGGAGAACACTGATGCTCTGTATTTGGATCCCAGCTGTTACACAGTGACAATGACAGATACATCACTTTCTAGAAGCTGTGAGGAAACCTTTCAGCAGATTTCAATATTCTGGTTGTTGGGGAGTTATTAGCCTGATACTTCTTTTTCTTTCTTGCAGGATGGTGTTTTGGTGGATGAATTTGGATTGCCAAAGATCCCTGCAACATAAAGGTTTCAAAAGCACAATGGATATAATGAACTACACTTCACAAAACAAATTAAGACCTTTTTTTTCTATTTTTTTTTTTTTTTTTAATAAATCCTGGAGAACTTGTCCTTCCAGTATGATCTTAATAGCACTACATCTTAGAACGCAGTATGAATGGCTGGTGGTATTCTTTCTTTGAAGAAAGTTGTTCTGCTACTGACTTTTCTATTAATGGAAAATTCGTCACAGTTCCCTCCAGTGGAAGCAGTCGGTATCATAGGTTTTGATTTCTGTGTGTTACGGGCAAAGTAATAGGTGAAGAGTAGTGGTGGCTGTTGATAGATGAGGTTTGACTTTGTATTTTGTTTCTGTTTCTTGAAAATAAGACTGTACGTCGCTGCTTACTCTATGTAAAATAGCTCCCTTATAACTATGTGTATTTGATAAAAGAATCGAAAGCAATTTTTAAACTACTGCCGTCTTGAGACTTTTATGCTATCGTATTGTAACCTTATGGAAGGCTGTAATAAATCGGGTTGTCGTTAACTTTGTGCGTTCTGTGGAGACATAAAGTCACGTAGCTCAGCTGCTGCTT